ACTGCGGCGACCCCTAAAGGGACCAGCCGAAAGAAGAAGAAGACGTTTGATTTATGACACGAAATAGATTTTTTCTACTTAATTTGGAAAGCATACAAAAGGTTCAAAGCTGGTGCTAACTGCAAAAGATGCGTATAAAAACAACTGAAATTTCACAGTTACAAGACAGAAAGCAAAATCCAATGCCAAAAACTAGGCTAGATCTACAGCCTAGCCAAGCTTCCTCCCATCAGTGCTTAAAATCAGTTTCCAAGCCTCTAGTTAGATCATATTCATTCTTCCCTATCTAAATACTACTAATTAAAAGCTGTCAGAAATTCAAGAGACAAAGTAGATTTAACTTTTTATTAGCTTGATTGCTGGTAATGAATAAAGTCCTATTGCTACTATAGAAATGATAAAGTAACCTTTCTGAAATTACATTACATTGGACCAATATTGGTCCAGGAGCCAATGCAGTCAGCATCACTGACAAGTATTAACACCTACCGAATTATAAGACTGAAAAAATAGGCATAGGCCTACACTTTTAATTTACAAGAGTGTTAAATTATGTAGAATTGTATGCTTCTACATATGTGATTCTTTACTCTAACCATGAAATCAAAAACACTATCCATGTGTTTAGTCCAATGAAAACAAATAAGTGACATTCATGAGGTATTACTTTTTCAGTTTTATAATGGAAAAAAGCAATTTCATTTTTATTATGTTTTGTTGTATTATTAATGATCGTGTACCGAGAGTCTGAGCGCCCCCAGTGATTTACTTTCAGTTTCTTCTTCCACTGGATAGGTTTTTTTCTATGGATTTCAAGATGGCGTCGAGCGGAGGAGATGGGGAGCACGAATGGACAGCGGCAGTGCGGCCGCTTTTATCAGCCTCATACACCGCTTTTGAAACGAAGGAGCTACCTCAGCTTATTGGGTCTATAATCAACAGGTAACCGGTTACATGTCAATAAATTTCGAGTCTCTGTTTGCTTGAATATTGACCGTGTCCACCCAGGAGTTAGCTGATAGGCTAACTTAGCTTGGTTAGTTAAGTTCGA